CAGGAGGGACCCGCGGGACACTTGGGCACCTGTGTGGCAACTGTGTGTCATCTGTGAGGCACCTGTGTGGTACCTACAGGACACCTGTGTCACCTGTGTGCCACTTGTGTGTCACCTGTGGCACCTGTGTGGCACCTGTGTTACCAGTGTGTCACCTGCATGCCACCTCTGTGGCACCTGCGTGCCACCTGTGTGGCACCCACAGCACACCTGTGTCACCTGCATGTCAACTGTGAGGCACCCGTGTGACCCGTGGGACACCTGTGTCAGCTGCATGTCACCTGTGTGTCACCTGTGTGCCCCCGTGTCCTCGTGTCCCCTCAATCCCTCCTTGTCCCCGCCATGTCCCCCATATCCCGATGTCCTTCCATGTCCCCCCCACATCCCCAATGTCCCCAACATCCCCCGCTGTGTCTCTCCATGTCCCTCCATGTCTCCCCATGTCCCCATGTCCCCATTTCCCCCCCATGTCCCCATTTCCCCCATGTCCCCCAGTGTCCCCCCATGTCCCCAATGCCCCCCATGTCCCCCAATAAACGCCCCCTCGCATCACCGCCGTCTCTCCCGTGTCTCTTTGGGGTCCCGCGGGGGGGGCCCCGCAGGTGACACTTCCCCCAACATGGCGTCCCCCAGGGGCCGCCGCCATTGCCCGCCACGGCCGCCGCCATGTTGGGTGCGGGCACGCCCTCAGCCGGAAGCGGAAGTCGGTCACGCCCCTCGCTTCCGGCCGCGGCGGGGCCTGGCCCGGAGGGTCCCTCGGTGGCGCTGGCGGCGGCGGCGGCAGCGATGGTGGGAGGGGCGGGGGGGCCTTGGGGGGGTTTGGAAGGTCTTTGGGGGGGCTGGGGGAGGGTCTGTAGCGGGGGTTGGGGGTCCAGAGGGGTCTGTGGGGGCCCCGGTGACCCCCGGCCGTGACCCGGCGGCCCCCGCCGTTACCCACCCCCAGGACAGCGAGTTCTCGGACGCGGAGGCGGCGCCGGGCGGGGAGGAGAACGCGCCGGTTTATTGCGTGTGCAGGAAGCCCGACATCAACTGTTTTATGATGTGAGGGGGGAACGGGGGGGCCCGATACAACCGCGTCGTGATGGGAGGGGGGAGGGTGGGAATGGGGGGGCTCGGGGGATCCCCAAATGCTTCGTTGATGTGGGGGAGGAACGAGGGGATCCCAACATCATCTGTTTCACGATGCGAGGGGGAAATGGGGGTTCAACTGCTTCACGATGGGAGGGGGAGTGAGGGGTCCTATGAGGGGGTTGGGGGGGGGCTCTGTAGGGCTGTGGACCCCAGGGGGGCCCGAGGGGGGGTTGCTCGGGGCCGGGGGGGAGAGCAGATACCTCTCAGGGTGGGAGTTGGGGGGCTCCGGGGGTCTGTTGGGGGGATCCCTTGAAGGGGGGGCAGTGGGGGCTCCTTTGGGGTGGGGGGGGACGGAGGGACCTTCGGGGAGTTCCCCAGCTGAGGGTCTCGGTGTGTGTTCCCCCCCCAGCGGGTGTGACAACTGCAACGAGTGGTTCCATGGGGACTGTATCAACATCACCGAGCGCATGGCCAAGGCCATCCGGGAGTGGTACTGCCGCCAGTGCCGCGGTGAGGGGGCCGGGGGGTCCATCTGGGGCTGGCACTGCCGCCAGTGCCGCGGTGAGGGGGCCGGGGGGCTTTGGGGAATCCAGGGGGCTCCTCCGTGAGTGGCGCTGCTGCCAGTGCCACGGTGAGGGGAGTTTGAAGGGGCTGAGAAGCTGATTTGGGGGGTCGGGGGGGGGGCGGGGGGGGGGGGGCTGGGGGGTCCTGGACACCTGGATATCTTTTGGAGGGAGGGGCGGCTGTTGGGGTCCATTCTGGGGGTCCTCGATCCCAGAGTCCTGGTTGGCAGGGTCTGGGCTTAGGTTTGGAGGGGGAAATGGGGGTCCTCGACATCGGGGCCCCTCAGTGAGGGGGTGACAGCAGCAGAGAGGGAACTGGGGGTGAGTGAAGGGTCCCCCTGACCCCCCTTTACCCCCCCTCTTTCCAGAGAAGGACCCGTCCCTGGAGATCCGGTACCGGCACAAGAAGTGGCGGGAGAAGGAGCACGAGGGGGCCAAGGGGCAGGAGCTGGAGCAGGGCCGGGCGGCCAAGGTGGGCTTGGGGGGTCCTGGGGGTGGCCCTGGGGCCAGGCCACCAAGGTGGGGGGAGGACCCCGTGGTGTGGGGGCTCCGGGACTGCCCCAGTCCCTTAAGATGTGGATTTGGGGGTTCCTTATATGTGGTGGTTTGGGGGATGTTTGGGTGCCCCCTGGACCTCTGAGCCCCTTCCAGGTGCCTGGGTCCCCCCTGGGTGGGTTTTGAGGGTTTTGGGGGTGTGTGACCCCCCCAGATCAAGCGCTCGGCCCGCATGTGTGGG